AAGAGTTAAAAGGATTTGGCCTTTCTTAAATTACGTAAAGCACTTTGAACTACATTGTTGCTGAAATGTGCTATACAAATAACCCAGACCTTGTATGAATAGAGCTTTAGAATGGAATACCATGTAATTAGAAACCCAACACATATGTAAAATATGCAAACACAGATGGACTTTAGGTAGTAAATAAACCAATTATCAATAATCACAGGTTAGTTGTGTCTGATAAAACAGAAGCTGTTGGGACAAACATTTGATGTAAAAGCAGCACTTTTGAGTTTATTAGTAATATTCTACGAAAATCTGTTTTACCCAATTGTCTGGCTAAAGCTGTACTTTAGTTCTCTGTTGAATCTCTTTCAACATAAACCAGCATAATCAGCATAAAAAATATATTATGTACCGTAGGCTGATGATCTTCTTTGCTTGACAATGGCATCAAAGTTTGTGAAAAAATTGGAATTCAAATAATTAAAATGAAGCAGACTTAAAAAAATCATTTAAAGTTTCCACTTTTGTCTCATCACTCCTAATATGACATCTATAAAGTTACTGTACCAATTTATGGCAGCGTGAATGTTTGTTGTAATTATAAAAGATTTCCCACACGTTTTAATTACAATTTTAATGCAAGTTGTTAAGGGGATTGTGCATTCTCCATGGGAAAATAGGATAAGTAATATTTAATTGACTTAATAGAGTTAGGATAAATGTGAACTGTTATCATTATCTAGAACTTTAACCCTCCAGAAGTTCCCAGTGGTACAAAGATTCAAACATCATGGGGGCGATAGAGAAACTGAACCTAAACCATCCCTGAATAAGATTCCCAAGACAACAACAAATTCAGGTCATGAAAAGCTATAAAATGGATAAATGAGAGCAAACCTGACTGGAGCAGATAGTTGGAGCCTGAGGGACATTGTTAATAGGAAGGAGGAATCAGTTGGAGTCAGGCCCCTGAAGAGTGGAGGGGGTCAAAGTTATGACCTGGTATCTGACTCTCAGACTCGTTTCTACTTTGTTACACTAGAAATGAACAGGAAGAAATTATATTCAAGAAGAGCATTTTCATTTTTAGATGATTCTGTATCACATATGTTGAAAAAAGGAGCATTTTTTTCATGCGAATCAAGAGCACTTATTGCAAGTATTTTTAGCTCTTTGAATAAGAAAGATCCTGATAGTTTTACAGCATGTTCTGGAGCTGCTATGACTGGAGTGAGTTCATAACTTACTATAACCATTACAGAAAGACAATGTGGCATTTAAAACATTTGAAACATAAACACGTTGATAAATTATTATTCACTTACTGTAAGACACTGAAGAAAATTTGAAATTTTTGGCGCATAAGGTTGAAAGCTTTGACCTCTGCAGTTTTAATTTCAGCCACTGCTTTGAAACAGGTGCAGTACCGAGTTCAGTCAGACACAGCACAGCTGAACGCTTTACCACCTGTTGGGGATTCAACCTCAAATATAAAATTATTCTCAGTTTGCCCTGAGATTTCCACTCTCAGACCAGAGGATGAAGGAGCGATAGAGAGCTAGGTGGTCCAGCTTTTCTGCCAGGTGTTCAATCAGCTTCCCGCAGCCTCAGTGCTCATTTTAGAGCTTCCTGTTCGAGTTTAATTATTCTCCCCAGTTCAGTCGCATTCCCTGCTGAGGGACAGCATCACAATTAACCAGACCACACACAGACACAACTCCAAACGCTTGTACTTCAGTTTTATTGTTCTGAGAAAATCAACACCAAGTAAAAAATAAATTACTTCCTTGATTTTTTTTTTTTTTTTTTTTTTTTTTTTTAAAATTTTTATTCAGAGGCTGCAGAAAAAGCCCAAAGGCTTAAGAAAAAACCCAAATGGAGAAAACA